ATTAAAGGTTCTCTCTTGCACTGCACCTTCACTTCCCTTTCCCTTTTCGTCATTTTCCCCAATATATCTGTCCTCCCTTTTTTTCTTGCCTTTCACTTCTTCACCAGCAGGTCTACTTTTATGAACAGAACTGTGTCCACCTTGTTGAAAACAACCACCTCATTTCAATTTGTTAGCACAGAATGTTATTTATCTTAAAACGACTTAAATACCCTAGATTTAACAAACCTTATGTTTCATACAAATATACACTACCAGTCAAAAGTTTTTGAACAATAAGATTTTTTATGTTTTTAAAGAAGTCTCTTTTGCTCACCAAGCCTGCATTTATTTGATCCAAAATACAGCAAGAACAGTAATATTGTGAAATATTTTTACTATTTAGAATAACTGCTTTCAATTTGAATACATTTTAAAATATAATTTATTCCTGTGATCAAAAAGCTGAATTTTCAGCATCATTACTCCAGTCTTCAGTGTCACATGATCCTTCAAAAGTTGAACATTTTCTTTTTAAAAGTACAAATTACAAATCTTGACCTCTCAGATGCACTAGCTTAAAAAAAGGGCATCACCACAGTCCCCTGGGGACTTTGTATCATGGAAGAACATACACATACTGAAAAGCAAAAATTGGCAAGTACACTACCAGTCAAAAGTTTTTGAATAGTAAGATTTTTAATGTTTTTAAGAAGTCTCTTCTGCTCACCAAGCCAGCATTTATTTGATCCAAAGTACAGCAAGAGCAGTAATACTGCGAAATATTTTTACTATTTAAAATGACTGCTTTCGATTTGAATATATTTTAAAATGCTATTTACTATTTCTGTGATCAAAGCTGAATTTTCAGCATCATTACTCCAGTCTTCAGTGTCACATGATCCTTCAGAAATCATTCTAATATGCTGATTTGCTGTTCAAGACACATTTTATATTATTATTATCATCAATATTTAAAACAGTTGAGTACATCAGGATTCTTTGATCACTAGAAAGATCCAAAGATCAGCATTTATCCGAAATAAAAAGCTTTTGTAACATTATACCACACTATATACACTATACCAAAAGCTTGAAGTCATTATAATTTTCAACATAATAATAATAAATGTTTTTGATCAGCAAATCAGCATATTAGAATGATTTCTGAAGGATCATGTGACTGGAGTGATGCTGAAAAATCAGCTTTGAAATCACAGGAATAAATTACATTTTAAAATATATTCAAATAGAAATCAGTTATTTTAAATAAAAATATTTCACAATATTACTGTTTTTGCTGTATTTTGGATCAAATAAATGCAGGCTTGGAGAGAAGAAGAGAGTTCTTTGAAAAACAAAAAAATCTAACTGATCAAAACCTTTTGACTGGTAGTGTATTAAAACACATTTTCTAAAGTGCCTAAATGTCAAAATTAGAACAATATATTTGTTGAAAAATTCTAATAATGAACACACTATTGAATTACGTGACTCATATTACTTTTTGTGTTTCTGTCTGCTCTAGCTCCCTCCCTCCCTGTACAATAAATCCATGTGAATGGATATTAGCAGTATTAGCAGTTTAATACTCAACTAATAAAGACAAAACTCTTTAGAGTATTTACAGATGAAACTGACCTGCACTTGAAGCCCTGAACAGGTCAGTGATGTTGCTACATTTCACTGCTTATTCTGGCCAGTTCCTCTCTTTCATCGAGTCCCGCGAATTGGTTCTGTTCGGAATCGTTTGACGGCAGCGTGGAACACACGTGAGCTGATTCGTATAGCTTAGCGCTGCCAGTCAAGACTAACCGATTTATGATTTAGTATCGATATATTATCTAATTAAAAAATAATAGCCTAACTAAAAAAACAGGGCAGAGGGCCAAATCAGCCGCCAGGCCACCGGGAATTCTCTTGGTGCTCCCGATGGCCAGTCCGGGCCTGGAGTGAACAGTAGCTGTAGTGAGTTTTCTGTGATTGGTTGACCTGGATTAGCAGCTGTTGTTAGTAAGGGGTTTGAACTGGATTTAAACTTTTAAGATGACTAAGGTAAGATTAGCTAATTGTTGCTGGTTTAGAGCTTTGAGCTGTTAATGATAGAGGTGGACTCAGCAGTAAAGTAGTACCTAATTAGCAAGTATTACTAAAGCGAGAGTCCTCGTGTGAAGACCTACTCGGGTAAAGACCCGTGAGTTTACCTGCACGAGTCCACCGAGCAAAGACACAGACAAGGCACCGCATGCTACACTAAAGGTTTATTTCTTTGTTAGTGCTCTCTTGTTTTCTGTAATGCTCGTGTAATGGAGGCCAGCGAGTAGGTGCTGTGCAGGTAAACCCCAGTCTTTAGCCTCCTTGTTAGTGCGTCCGCCTCCCATGCCGGAGACCCGGGTTCGAGACCCACAGGTGTGGCGGTGAGGACCCGGGAGAGAGGGGTTACATTGGTGCCGTGACCCGGATGGGAGTGAGGTATAGGGGGTTGAGTGTAACAGAGGCCAGCAAGTAGGTGCTGTGCAGGTAAACCTCACTCCCCTGATCTCAAGAGACGCACTAGCAACTGATGCTAGTGGCTGCAGTCTTTAGCCTCCTTGTTAGTGCGTCCTCTTCCCATGCCGGAGACCCACTCAGAACAAAAACGAGGTGTGACGGTGAGGACCCGGGAGAGAGGGGTTACACTGGTGCCGTGACCCGGATGGGAGTGAGGTTTAGGGGGGTGAGTGTAACAGAGGCCAGCGAGTAGGTGCTGTGCAGGTAAACCTCACTCCCCTGATCTCAAGAGACGCACTAGCGACTGATGCTAGTGGCTGCAGTCTTTAGCCTCCTTGTTAGTGCGTCCGCCTCCCATGCCGGAGACCCGGGTTCGAGACCCACTCGGAACAAGAACGAGGTGTGGCGGTGAGGACCCGGGAGAGAGGGGTTACATTGGTGCCGTGACCCGGATGGGAATGAGGATAGGGGGGTGAGTGTAACAGAGGCCAGCGAGTAGGTGCTGTGCAGGTAAACCTCACTCCCCTGATCTCAAGAGACGCACTAGCGACTGATGCTAGTGGCTGCAGTCTTTAGCCTCCTTGTTAGTGCGTCCGCTTCCCATGCCGGAGACCCACTCGGAACAAGAACGAGGTGTGGCAGAGAGGACCCGGGAGAGAGGGGTTACACTCATACCATGTGCCATCAGTTAATCACTGTTGTTCACTGCTGGCAGAAGTATAAATGCATCGTCAGGGTGTGGTGAGGGGCTGCCAAGAGAGTGTAGCAGGGGCGTTTCCTCCAAGGCAAGGGAGGCAGTGTCTCCTCAAAACATTGGATGAGAAAAAAAAATTAGTACAAAAATAAAACAATGCCAATATTACAAAATATAACATTAAAAAGTGTATAAATCACTTGTTTTTCTAAAGAAACATTGTCCAAC